TCAGTAAAAATATTTTTTTAACAAAGATATAAATGCAAAGGAAATAAATAATGCAATAAAAGCAGGAGGTAAACATGTGTACATATAACTCAGTAAAACAATGGAAGAGTAAGATAAGATTATACATATAAAAAAGCTACATTCTAAGAAACATTGCTGAAAACACAGCAGGTATTTAAAAAATAAAACATGTAAGGCACTTTATAAAAGATAAATTAGCAAAGAGCAAAAACATTATATAGACATGGAAGAGGATTAACAAGAAACAGGTATCAGTACAAAGTAGTTTATTTTTTTGATGTTCATTGTAGATATAATGCATGCCATTTAAGATGAGAACAAAATAAATGAAACAGGAAAAAAAAGGTAGCAATAATCTGAGAAAAACATAGAACTTGGATCCATATATTAAAAGGTCATGTGTACATGAAAAATGATAGCTGACATTTAATATCAATTAAGGCCTAGAAAATTAATTTAAAAATTAATAGCCAAATAAAAGGCCAAATCAGTAGCCTCTTCTTACCTGAGCTCCAAGCATTATTCTTGAAATTTAACATTCTATCCTTTTCACAGTAGCCCAAGAGGTCTTTGAGAAACATATCATATCTTATCATATGTTGTTGTTGTTGTAAAGTGCCATCTAATCAGTTCCCATAATGACCCTGTATAGGGTTTCCAAGGAGCGGCTGGTGAACTAGTACCACTGACCTACCTTGAGATTCAAACAGACTTTGCAGTCCAACACATTAACCCATAATGCAACACTAAGACTCCTATCATATATTAGATCATATCATAAATCATATCACATTATACCCTGCTTAAAACATTTCATTGACTTTCTATTGCACATATGATAGAATCCCAATATACATTAGCTGATGTCTCTATGGGTCGGAACTGACTCAACAGCCTTAATGACAACAATCTTTGGGATAATGTATTGGACTGCAAGATCGGTTTGTACTGCAAGGTTGGCAGTTCAAATTCACCAGCTGCTCCTCTGAAACCCTACATAGGGAAGCTATGAGTCCAAACCTACTCAATGGCATTTAACAACAATAACCTATGTTTGACTTCTGTTTTGAGTTTCTCTCCTTCTTATTGAGTACATTCCAACCACATTTGACCTACTTTCTATTCCTGAAACACTCCAATACTGATTTTTCTTCAAAGCCTGTATACTTGCTGTTTCATCTCTGGGAATATCGTGTTCCCCAGGTTTTTCTATAGCTAATTTCTTCTCATCTATATGGTCTTAGTTCAAATCGCATCTTGGCTAAACCTTTTATGTAGACTTTCCTTTCATAATTAATTGCATAATTAGTAATTAAATATTAGTATTAAACTATTTAAAAGTAAATCTACTTAAATTTAATGCTGCATGAATCCTATAAAGAAAATGAGAGTGATATGATAAGCAATAAATTCTGAAAGGAAATGCTATTAAAAGTATCATGGACTACCAGAAGAACAAACAAATCTGCTCCTAGTAACAAAAACAACATATTTATTTTTTAACTTATTTATCATTAGTCTCCTTCCTTTAGAACGCAAGTCCCATAAGAACAAAGGCCATTCTAACTTTTTCAATTATTCATCACTTTATAGGACGGCAACGATTTTGCAGCATTTAAACACTACGGAAGGGCCCTGAATGACACTAATGGTTTGTGCTGATGACACAGTAGAGCACTTAGCTGCTAAACAAAAGGTCAATAGTTCAAACCCACTAGCCACTCCATTAAAGACGTGACTGACTACTTCCATTGGAAACCCAATGGGGAACTATAGGACAGTTCTCTGTCCTATAGAGTCACTATAAATTAAAACTGACAGGGCAGAAAGGAGTTGGGGAGGTTTTTTTTTCTCCCCACTAACCTAAAAATTGGCAATTTAAACCCACCCAGCAGTGCTATGGAAGACAAGTCAGTTGATCTGCTTCCAAAAACGTTACAGCCAAAAAAACCCTCTGGAGTGATTCTACTCTGTAACACACAGGGTTTACCATGATTGGAATCAACTCAATGGTAGTAGGTTTTGTTTGTTTTTTAAAATTTTATTTTAAACCATATGATATTTAGATCTATAATGAGTAAACAGACTTTTTAGTCTATTGTAAATGAGATTTAAAATCAGAAATAGGATTCATAGGTTCTATTAAAGACATTAAAGTATTTGAGACTTGAATTTTCTTCTTGATTTATAGTCTTCCCTGTTATGTTACCATATTATTAAGTGCTGTCTAGTCAATTCTGACCCACAGCCACCCTGTATAGGGTTTCCGAGGAGCCACTGGTGAGCTTGAACTGCCAATCTTGCAGTTCAAACGGCTTTGCAGTCTGGTGCATTAACCCACAGTGCCACACCAGGACTCCATGTTACCATATAGTATTCGTTAATTATGAAAGTATTCTTTTTACATTTGTTGAGGTATTCATTGCTTTTTAATTATTAGTTATACAATAACACCTTGTATTCTTTTTGCTTTTCATACTCTTAGTTAATTCCTAAATGCAATAATTAATCCATATCACTTTCTCCCTGAAATTAGATACGCCCTCCTTCTCAGTAAATGAAACCACTCATCCTGGGTAAGGATTGTCAGACTTCTGACACTTGCATCATTATATGGGTATCATTTTCACAGGCTGATTTTGTCAGACTTGATTATATTTTGGGTGATTTATAAATTTAGCCTCAAAATGATGGCATGAAATTTACTGTGGAGCAATTGGCAGCCATTAGCATGTTTCTGCCATTTTATTCAGATGGGTTAATAAAACAAGGTTGCAACAGAATGCTTGGAAGACTATGACATCACAGAATGACACCACAATGGATTCCCATTCTGTCTGTACTGTTCTGTGGTTTTATTTGATCACTGCATCTTTCTCTCATGGAAACAAGATGTTTCAGAACGAAACACAGAAGAAATGGCATAATCTTAAAGCAACGAAATGTTCAAGCCCTGTTGTGTAGTATCTTGCTGCACTATGTTAAGGAATCGACTTTAAAATGGTTAACAGAAAAAGAAATCGCATTGAGCTAGGCTGTCAATGTTTTTCTTGTAAATCAAAGCCATCCAAATGTAAGAGTCAAAAGAAATCTAAAAATGTTTTAATGTAAGTATTAATTTGCATTTCCTTCAACTCTATAAGTCATGTTTGTATGTAAGTTTTTTTATTTATCTTTATATATATATATATATACACATAGTTTTGTAACTCCAGAACTTTTCTCTGTAAGTATGGTGTTTTGTAAATGCATGGAAAGAAAACAAATATTGGCAAATGACTGAACTCTTACATGTTTTAGAAAATAGCAGCACATGTAGACAGTCATTTTAAGGAATAAGAATGTTTACTCTTCAGCATATTATCTTTCGAGTCTTGTCTTTCTAGCATTGTGTGCTTTGGGTGGGTCTCCCACTTTTGCCCCTTTCTAGTTACTGCCCTTTTGAGATTATGTGATGTTGGCACACATTATTATTTCTGGCTACCTTTCCTCATTCACTCCATAATCCTCAGCTCTCACTGTGCAAAGAAGTTAACCAAAGTGAACAAAACCCAAAGGTCAAAGCCACAGTGTGCTAAAAATAGCTCCAAGATATTAAGTTGGTGCACTGAGAAGGAAATAACCAATTCAAACTACAAGCAGAACAACTCTTTGTTCCTGTTGGCAAAGCTCAAGTGCTTTCTGAAGTTGTTTGGTATTTGTGGGGTACCTTTCACACTTTCTTACTGCTTTAGACTTTTAGGAATTTCTTGATCATCTGTAAAATGTTGACATTTTCTTAGTTTCCGCTTTCATTGTATGTATCATTACTTGTTAATCCAGGCAACTTTACCTGATGTTTATGCAGAAAATTCATAGTGGTGAGGTTCCTTCTCCACTCACTCTTGATTTCCTTGGGGAGCAGTTCTAGCCCAAGACAGTTTTACTCTTAAATGGAGAGGTTTCTCTTCCAGGTACACTGGTCACCTGAAATGAGCTTTCATAAATTTTCCACTTATTTCCCTGTCAAGGTGATTATTCTATCAAGGTTCTAATTTTATCTTATTCAAAATCATGGAAAATGTTTATCCAAGAAGGGCATGCTGGCTTAAAAAGGGTAGTTTGCATACTTTAACTTTTCAAGAGCTTCCCAAAAAGACAGAGGAGGAAATTTTGGCATTCCTGTTATAAGTTATATTCTAATATTGTTATTTCAACATATATTTACATTAATCTCACTATGTTAACCTATATATACAATGTTAACTATATACACTGAAGAGCCAATAAAAAACAAAACAAACAAACAACCTTATTCAAATAGATTGAAGCAGGACTTGAACCAGGACTCCTTCATAATAGTAATCCACCCAAAACTCAGTGCCATTGAGTTGATTCCTACTCATAACAACTCTTTATAGAGTTTCCAAGAATGTAAATCTTTAAAGGAATAGCCAGCTTCATCATTCTCCCGAAGAATGGCTGATGGGGTTAAACTGCTGATCTTGCTATTAGTAGCCCAATGCCTAATCCACATACTAGAGTAGTATATTAGTGACCAAAGCACTGGAAAAGGACATTATCTTTAGTAGAGGGTCATCAAAAATAAGGGAAAACCTCAACACGATGGACTGGAATGATAGCCATAATAATAGATTGAAACTTACCAATGGTGATGAAGATGATACAGGGATCAGATAACATTTCTTTCTGTTATACGTAATATCTCCATGAGTAGAATCCCGATCAACAACAAACATGTTAGTGATTCTGACAGCTGATATTTCCTGACAGATATCATTGTACTTCAAATGTCTAAGTATTTTATTAGGCTTTGCCTTCAGAAGATCATCAATTCGAGAAATTAAGAGTTTTTCAAATAGTTTCTAGGAGTAGACAGTGATTTGCTCTATTTAAATTCCATTGCAATGTTCTGAGTTATTGCTAATATCAGTTTTGCTTCACTTCTTCTAAAGTTTAATCTGTTTGAATTTTTGTAGACGGTTGCTGGATACTGATGATGAGCTCTCTGACATTGAGTCTGATTCAGTTCCATTGGAAGTTCGCGACTGGTTGGCTTCTACCTTTACAAGGAAAATGGGGATGACGAAAAGGAAACCTGAGGAAAAACCAAAATTTCGAAGCATCGTTCATGCTGTTCAAGCTGGGATTTTTGTGGAAAGGTTAGTGAAATTGTGTCTTAAAACAATATACTTTGAAAAGAAGCAAATACTATATCAGAGTAAGAGAAAACGTGTATTTTACTTATTGAGAAAAACTACAATCATGAATATATCTAGAGTGAACAGATTTGGGACTTTTTAATAAATTTGTTGTTGTTGTTAGGTGCCATGGAGTCGGTTCCGACCCATAGCGACCCTGTACAGGGTTTCTGAGGCTGTAAATCTTTATAGGAGCAGAACGCCTCATGTTTCTCCCACGGAACCTCTGGTAGTTTCGAACTGCTGGCCTTAAGGTTCGCAGCCCGATTCGTAACCACTACGCTCCCAGAGTTTACCCATCACAAAATTGACTTGCCCTAGATCTATTATTCTTATTTTTTAAATGAACATAAACATGGAGAATAAAAGGGCTTTTGAATGAACATTCTTCTCAAATGAACCTTTGCAAACTTTAAAAATAATTCAAATGCATTAATTTGATACTTGATTAATTGTAACTGTGATCTAATAAACACTAGGAATCCTACATTAGATCTTAATCTACATACAGAAATCAATCAGAGCTTTTTCTTTGCTAAATAGAAAAAGAAGAAAAAAAAATCCTCTTTTTATCATCTCTCCTGTTCTCTTTTGAACAAATTTCTTAGACATTTCTGTCACTGAAACAAGGAAGACCTGATTGGCCCTAGAAACACTGATTTAAAACATTAGCACTTCTGTGTGTAAAATTCATGTTAATATGACCCAAGTATGCATTACTTATCCCTTATCTTTCAACTTAGGAAACAAGATGTTTGAGAATTTAGACTTCAGAAGGATCTAAAATAATCATGTTACATCTGGCATAGTTAAAATATAGATATTAGAAATTTTATATTAAAAAATTACATGATATTAAATTACATATAATAATATTATTTTGAAAATTAATGAAATTGAGAAACAGAGAAATGGTTTTTGTCAATGTATTAACAATAAGATTGAATGGTGACCACATTTTTTCATGCTCAGACATCTCTAATCATTACCTTTAGTAAACATTAGAAACTTCATTTCCCTCTAGTAAACGAACAATGGGAAGCACGCTTGTTTGTTGTTAAGTGCCGTGGAGTCGTCACAGACAATGTTTGATTTGCTGAGGAAGAGCATATTTTGTCTTTTTGTTTGTTAGGAAAATATTACAGAACTTGTAAAACTCCAAAGAAAAGCAAACTATGGAAGTAATCCAGCTTAATTTCCATTTCTGTTCCATAAAAGATAAAGAATGACTCTGAAAAATATTTTAGCATTACAAATTTTCATTTTAAAATCCTGTGTGGTGCTGTGGACTAATGCGTCAGACTTCAAAGTCATTTGAACTACAAGGTAGGTGGTTCAATCTCACCATCTGCTCCTTGGAAACCCCATACAGGGTTGCTATGAGTTGGAATCTATTAGACGGCACTTAACAGCAACAACAATACATAAAGCAAATTTTATTGAACAGCCTGTTGTTGTTGTTCCCACTCATAATGACCCTGTATAGGGTTTCCGAGGAGCATCTGGTGGGTTTGAAGTACTGACCTTGTCGTTAGCAGTCCAGTGCCTATCTTATAGTGCCATATCAGGACTCCTTAATAACCTGTGGGGGTGGGGGTGGGGGTGGGGGTGTGCTGTGGAGTCAGTAAGACTCATAGTGACCCTGCATAGGTTTTCTGAGACTATAAATCTACAGGAGCAGAAAGCCTCATCTTTCTCCTATGGAATTGCTGGTCGTTTCAAACTGCTGACCATGAGGTTAGCAGCCCAACTGGCAACCACTATACTACCAGAGCTCCTTTAATAGCCTATAGAAATATTAAAATGTACTTATGGTAGCTAAATTAATAAACTGACTTGAAAAAATAAATGTTAGAACATTTATTGTTAGCATACAGAAATTATTTTTTTTGTGTGTGTCATTGTTGCTGTTGTTATTAAGTGCTGTTGAGTGGGTTCCAAGTCATAGTGACCTTGTACAAAGGTTTCTGAGGAGCAACTGGTGATCTTGAACCGACCTTGAAGATCAAACCAACATTGCAGTCTAATGATTATCCAACAGCTCCACACCAGGAGTCCCAATTAGTAAGTGCATTGAAATAGTGGGATAGATTTGTACTGAGTTTGCAAAACTAATCTAATCATCTTTGACCCTATAAGTTAGGAAGTCTCCTTGAGTTTTCTCTATAGCATTCCCTCCCTTGGTTCAATGCCTCCAGGAAGTCCTGACCAGACTCTTATTTATGTATCCTGAATCCAGTCACTGCCTCATTTCCACTCCTGTAACCAAATCTAAACCTCCATTATTTAACATCAGAAATATTATGATAGACTTCTAGTGGAGTTTTCCTTTCCCTCACTTGCCCACTTCCCAACAAGTCATTACATGGTGATGCTTTAAAATAAAAGTTTGTTCCTGTCAGTCCTAAACTTTAAACCATATGCTGTTTTTCCATTTCACGTTGTATTAAAGTCAACGTTGTATCATGGCCTTGCATGATTAGGTCCCTTTTTACCTTTACCCACATCCCCAGTTGAACTCTACCTGCACCAGCCTGATTCAAAACATTATTCCATTAACTACATGATACTTCCTTTCTACGCCATGGAGTCCAACTGGTAGTGTGGTGGTTACGAATCGGGCTGCAAACCACAGGTCAGCAGTTCGAAACTACCAGCTGTTCCCCGGGAGAAAGATGAGGCTTTCTGCTCCCGTAAAGATTTACAGCCTTGGAAACCCTGTATAGGGTCGCTATGAGTTGGAATCGGCTCCACGGCACATAACCACCACCACCACTGTAGGATAAGCACTTGACTGCTAATGTAAAGGTGGTGGTGATGGTGGTTAGAACATCTCCAAACTGTTCCCTGTTCTGGGGCCATTACTCCTGCTGTTTTCTGTTTCAGGAAGGATTATCCCAACTCTTTAACCTGGGTTGCCCTTTTTCTTCTTCCCAGGCCTTCCTGCATCATGTTTACACTGTTCATCTTTATCTCTTCACCTAGTCAGTGGCTTAACTCATAATACTCATTCTTGATTGTGATCATATTTTGTTTCATATTTGTTATCTTTCTTCACCACTGGGATAGACCCATGAAAGTAGAAGCTATATTTTCCTTTTTTCTTCACTAAATAGTCTGATGCCTAGCACAGTGACTGGTACAGAAAAGTGTGTTGTCAAGTTTTTATTTTATATTTTAATTATAGTAAGCACTCACAGAAATAATCTGTCATATTCCCAGTTGGATTTACACCATTTATAGAACCTCAGGAAATTCCCTTTCAGAAACAGATAATACATCCACTATTTCCTAAAGTGTATTTTTGTTGTTGTGTTCCATCAAGATGATTCTTACTCCTACTGACCCCATGTGATGTAATAGAACTGTCCCACTAGGTTTTCTTTGGCTGTAATCCTTATGGACACAAATGACAAGGTCCTTCACCCATGAAACCACTGGAGCAAAAGGGCTCCTTTCCTTAAGTGTGTGGTTTAAATTGGAGTTTTCTGTCAGGATCACTCTGACTTCACAATGAGTTCTCATCCAGATATTCTGTTTCTGGTTACAGGAATAGAAATTTCTGAACCTACTCCAAATCTAAGAAACTCAATATCACTAGTGAGCCTGGGAAGCCCTAAAGGATGAATGAATCAGTGCCAATTGTGTGATGAGAATAGTAACAAAACCAACAATAATGGACTTTATTAATTGAGTAGTTATTACGTACTAGAAATTTATATCATTTGTTCTTCACACACACACAAATAGACACAATGATCCCCATTGTACAGATGAACCACATTAAACAACTTCCTAAAGCTCACACAGCTTGTGAGGGGTTAACCTCTTTTTGTACTGCTATATCATACTGCAAAAGGAGCCCTGGTAGAACAATGGTTAAGCACTTAGTGGCTAACCAAAATATTGATGGTTCAAATTCATTAGTTACTTGGAGGGAGTAAGATGTAGCAATCTACATCCATGATTACGCCTTTAGAAACCAGTATAGGCGCAGTTATACTCTGTTACAGGCAGGTCACGAGTTGGAATTGCACATAGCAACAGTCTCATGATGCCTTTCTGCACAATGGATCCAAACTAATTAATTTTTTTAAATATTGCATTTCAGATTGATTGTCATATTTATCCTTTGCTCCAATATATCACTCTTTCATTTTCCTTGCACCTCAATTTTTTAGTAGTAATGATTCGAAAAGTAGACTTTAAAAAAACCACTTATTCCCTAAAAACATAACAAGACCTAAATATTATTGTCAACAGTAGCTGTTTTTTTAGATCTTTTATAGTGTGGTTAGTAGCTTTCTTGCCCTGAAAGGTTAGAATAATCAATGGAATGATTAATATTTGTTGTTGTTGTTAAGTGCCTTCGAGTCGGAGCCAACCCATAGCGACCCTGTACAGGGTTTCCAAGGGTGTAAATCCTTACTGGAGTAGAAAGCCTCATCTTTCTCCCGCGGAGCGGCTGGTAGTTTCGAACCACTGACTTTAAGGTTCGCAGCCCGATTCGTAACCACTACGCTACCAGAGCTCCTTAATATAAGTAATATTATTTATAAACTGCTCTGAAATGCTCAAATAGAGAACTATCTTAAAAGACATAGTATAGAAGTTTTACTCACATCTAAAAATTATTTAAAATCTTTTAAAATAAGCAAAAATTAGAAACATTAAAGATATTATAATAAGATACTTTTAATAAAATGGGGAGATACTTCATCTAAAAAGTCTGAACTAGAGCTATAATTAAACACAGTATTTTAATTCTGAGTTTCTAAGATATCAATATTAAAAAGAAAAACAAATGATTGTCTTTTATTATCTTAAAAAAAGTAAGTTTTCACCTAGAAAATGAAAAACATGTGTCAGGTTGTTTTGTTTTTTAATATATGGAACATTGAATACAAAAAGGCCAGTACCTTCCACACTGTTTTTTTTAAATATATGAATTTTTCCACATG